TCAGTAGAATATCTTCGCGAAAACCATAAAATTTAAAAACACACACCCGTTTAATAAAATCACAATACTATTTATGCGGTAACACATTTGCGGTATGTATTTTACGATTATTGCAACTGAAAAATTCATCAATGTATCAAATAGAGGAACGAAGATCAAATATACAAAACAATCGGCTAGGTCGTCACATCATACTACACTTCTACACCTTGCGTGCAAATTCAGGAGCTCAGTTGTTTTGGGAGACGACGCGTAGCATTGAAGACGTACTAGCATTACAGATACAAGCTACCACTTATTCATGGTAGTTAGGACCTATTTTTCTGTTTATGTAAATTCAAACATGTGATGTATCTTTACTCAAACCAGAATTGTATTCTTATTCTTAGTCAGTCATGACTTATACTATCAGTCCTAGGGATAGTTGTATTGATTTTCGTAATTTTATTTATTGTTTATTGATGTTTTTTTTATATCTTATATTGTTTGGTTTACCTGACAGGTTGGATTAGGTGCCATCACAACTTGGTGGAAATACATTATACATTTGATGCCAGCAATTGAGTTTGAGTTGTGACACCAACTTTTTGTTATAAAATTATAAATTAAGTCAAATATTAAATCAACCAAGACCAAAATATGAGATAAAATAAGAAAATTAAAATTATATGTTAATTGAAGACTATTGCAAAATTGGTACAGAAATTTGTAAGATAAAACAGCACATATATTCAATTGCTTTATCTTTTAAACTAAAATCATTATAAAAAGAAACTCCAAGATTATGGGTTTTAATACACTAATTTTATAACAGATGCCTACAAACATCGTATACAAATTGAAGTTGGGTATATAACAAATTGCTTTCATATGAAATTCAAAGTTACTATAAAATACGTGAATATAAAATTCAACTACGAATATCAAGTTTACAAGTAAATATAAAATTCAACTACTAATAAAAATATTTGCATAAAAATTTAATTACTAATACAAAACTTTTTTGCTTAAAGAAAGAGGACTTGCAACCCGTAATTTTGTAGATGTTGCTCGAACATGGTATAGTATAGATAATGAAAAGGTGATAATCAGAAACAAGAAAGGTAATATAAAATTATGTATAGTTCAAATAGCCCCAAAAAAAAGTTTATTAGTAAAATAAAAAAGTTAAACGAGCTTGTTTTCACCTAATATGCTTTATAGAAAATTAGAGGGTGTTTGGCGCTAATAAGCTAGTCAAAGCAGCTTATAAATACTTCTTGTCTTTAGAGGCGGATTTAGGATTTTTGGTATATGGGTGCACTGCAACAAAAAAAAAAAAAAAAGGAAAAAAAGTATCTAGTGGGATTGATCCCAATACTTGTTGGTAAATAATTCAACCTCCAACCAAGTGTATTCAACCTTTTAGAAATATGGGTTCCAACAGTTAATCTTATATCAATTTTAGAAAATATGTAGATAAAATATCTAATGTTACGAAAAAAATCATAGATTCACGTGTTCCATAACGAAACCTATAAATCCCTTGGCTTATAAGTTGGTCACCCCAACTTATAATTTTTCAGTTTATAAACACTTTTAGATGACCAAAGGTTTCTTTTTGCCCTACTAATAAGACCATCTCCAACCCTAACACCAAATTTCACACCAAAATGGTGTAACACCAAATTTACTTCAATCATTACACTATTTTTTACACCAAAAAATAATATTTCTTCTCTCTCTTCTATATTATATTATTATCTTCTATTTAAATTTTATTTTTTATTTCCTTCAAACAAATACTATATTTTTTTTTTCCATATTCATTATATATAATTCCAATTCACTACTTATATAATCATTTATTAGAAAATTATTTTAAAGGATAAATCTACTAAAAGTGGTTCTTAGTTGTGGTTATCCCTGCCACAACTAAGAAAATACCGAATATTTCAATTGCTTATTACCAGTTTCAATATATTATTCAAACATAATTACTTTTTCTGTTTTAATTTGAATGACATACTTACCTTACTAGTCTATTTCAAAGAGAAAAATACATTTTTATATTTAGAAATAATTTAACTTTAAATTTTTTATTTTAGTCACTTTACCCTTAATGAAATTTTTTTATAGTCACAAAAATATTATGGCCCCACAAAACTTTTTCCCCTTAAGCTTTTAGGGTCGCATGTTTCAAAAATATCCTTTTTTTTCTGAAATTTATGTCAAGTTAAACTGCATCATCTAAATTGATACGGATGGAGTACTTATTTATTAAATCAGCTTTAACACTTAAAAGTATTTTTTAGCACTTAATCCTAATAAGCTACTTTAAATCAGCTAAGTCAAACGGATTCTTTATTCCAAATTTTTCCTAGTGTGTGTGAATTAGTCATACTTTATATCTACATTTGGGAAATACTCAAATAACTATTTTGTCCGGTCTTAATTTTATGTCTAAAAGAATGAAAAGGGGGATGATATTTTGCTAAGTGTCATTATACTTTTAATTAAATTAAAAGTATAGGGTGATTAAGGACATGTATTATGGAACTAAGACTCGGGTCAGGACAGTGGGAGGCGACACAGAGCATTTTTCGGTTGTTTTAGGGTTACACCAAGGGTCAGCGCTCAACCCAATTCTTTTGCCCTGGTAATGGATGTACTGACACACCATATTCAAGGGGAGATGCCATGGTGTATGTTATTTGTTGATGGCATAGTGCTGATTGATGAGACGCGAGGCGGCGTCAACGAGAGGCTGGAGGTTTGGAGACAGACCCTTGAGTCTAAGAGTTTCAAGTTGAGTAGGACTAAGACGGAGTACTTAGAGTGCAAGTTTAGTGATGAGCCGACGGAAGCGGGATTGGACGTGAGGCTTGATTCACAAGTCATCCCCAAGAAGGGTAGTTTCAAGTACCTTGGGTCGGTTATTCAGGGAGATGGGGAGATCGACGAGGATGTCACACATCGTATAGGAGTTGGGTGGATGAAGTGGAGGTTAGCGTCTGGAGTCCTGTGTGACAAAAAAGTGCCTCAGATTCTCAAAGGTAAATTTTATAGAGCGGTGGTTAGACCAGCCATGTTGTACGGGGATGAGTGTTGGCCAGTTAAGAACTCACGTATCCAAAAGATGAAAGTAGCAGAAATGAGGATGTTGAGGTGGATGTGCGGGCACACCAAGATGGATAAGATTAGGAATGAAGTTATTCGGGAAAAGTTGGGTGTCGCCCCCATGGATGACAAGTTAAGGGAAGCAAGGCTCAAATGGTTTGGGCACATCCAGAGGAGAAGCCCAGATGCGCCGGTGAGGAGGTGAGCGGCTGGCTCTGGTGGGCATGAGGAGAGGTAGAGGGCGGTCTAAGAAGTATTGGAGAGAGGTGATCAGACAGGACATGGTGAGGCTTCAGATTACTGAGGACATGGCCCTAGACAGTAAGTTGTGGAGATCGAGCATTAAGGTTGTAGATTAGGAGGTAGTTGAGAATATCTCTACGGCGCCGCAGAGTGAGGCTATTCTGTTATGACTTGATCTTTGACTGTTAGTGTTTTATGTTGAGTTCACACTACTTTTTCGTTCCTCTTTGATGTGCTTTATCTACTGGTTATTGTTTTGCTTTTCACTTATTTTCTTGTTCTGGTGATGATGTTCTTTGTTCTATGGTTTCTATTGAAGGTACCGATAGATTGCCTCTTTTCGTCTTCTTGAGCTGAAGGTCTTTCGGAAACAGCCTCTCTATCCCCCGCGAGATAGGGGTAAGGTATGCGTACACACTACCCTCCCCAGACTCCACTAGTGGGATTTCACTGGGTTGTTGTTGTTTGTTGTTGTTGTAGTATAATATAGATATAGATAGATAGGTAGATAGATTAAAAGTTAAAAGTCCAACGTTGAGTGCAAGCGGATAAAAAATGGAATCACACAGTAACTTACGAACCCAAAGTACACAATTCCTATTCCTCTCACTAGCTAGTTTCCAAACAAAAGCTAAACTTTAATTCAGCTTTATATACTTTTTTTCAGACACAAGGAGTAAAGATCTGGCCTCCACAAATATTTTCCCTTGTCCACTATATAGTCATTTCAATGTCCTTTTCCATGTGACTGGTGAATTGAGCAAAATGCAGATGGTTTACTGTCATTTGCTTGAAGACAAATATTGGTCCTTTACTATCAATTAATGTAAGGGGGTTGGGGAAAAGTAGAACAAAATGGGGACCATAGATATAATATCGACAAATCTCAGTAAAATGTTCTGGTTCTGAAACCACCTGGACTAACTACATGTGCAAGTTTGGATGGTGACAAGCCAATACAAAGTACTACTCCAACTTACACTACAACAAATTTGATTTATTAGCGACAAATGTTTTTGTCACTAAAAGGCTTTATTTCGTCACTAAATATCTTTTCTGGCCAAATTTTTTTCGTCAATTCTTCGTAGCCATAAATGGGTCACTAAAAGTTTACAAAGACGATTTAGTGGTTCATCGCTAAATGACGTTACATTAGCGACACATTTGTTATTTCGTCCCCAAATATATTGAATCAGTGACGAACTTATTTGTCAGAAAAAGTTCAACTTCTTTGTAGTAGAAAATAACTTTCGTCACTAAATAAATTCTTAATACCGACGAAACAAATTTGTCACTAATTTTTATCTTGATTAGTGACAATTCTAATTGTCTTTAAAGTGGTTTCTAATTTGTAGTTGAAAAATATGATTTTGTCACATAAGATATGCAAACTTTAAGAAAAAGATTATCATTAATTTGTATACAAAAACGTTTTCGTCCCTAAATGTATAAAATTAAAGACAAATTTGTTTGTCTAGAAAATTGTAACGATTTGTGACTGAAAGGTATTTGGCGATGATTATATTGATTTTGGTACTATTTGCCATTTTTTAGATAAATGGATTATTTTAATATTTAGAATTTATACATAATAATGAATATTCTATAATTGAATTTAATACATTTTTTGCAAATTTTAATGTTTATCGAACAAATTGTTAAAAAATACAGAATCTTTATTTCTCATAGAGGATTAGTTACAATATTTGGGATTATCGGAATACAAAGATGAGGATAAAAAATATATACACAAAAACATGAGTAGCGGAGTAAAAACCATGACATTTACACTGTATATTATAAAGATTTCAGTCTCAAATCCCCAACTAACATCAAGAAACTGCAACTAACACTTAATACATTCACCATTTCTCAATTGGAAAAAAAATACTCAGCTTTTGCTTTAACCAACCCTATGTTAAAATCTTTTGATTCTTGAATATCTTTCTTGACTGCATAGTTTCTTTTTCTGTTTTCCAAATCTCTTCTTGCTTGGCTCTGTCTCTCGCCCATGTTTTGGCTTGAAGAGCCTCATATTGGTGAAGGCATGACCTTGTTTGTCAGAGAAAAAAGATAGGCAAAGACAAGACATCAACATAAAAACATAGAAGATTAACGAGTTTAAATAAAAAGAGAAGAAAGACAAACCTATAGATCTTTCGTGAAACCGTCAATGGTGGTAGAGTTTTGAAGAAACAGAGCCACTTTTTCATGAGAGAGAAGTCGGGAGATGTGAAACTATAAATCAGTCTACAGTTTTAATTTGTGGGAATAAGCATTTGATCAATGATGGGTAACTTTATGGATTTATTTCAGTTTCATTTCCTTAAGTTTAGGGATCTTAATAGGAAAATNAAAATTGGAAGTCCCGGAATACTTTGGTACGTTCCGACCNAGCCGAATATGTCGTCCACTTTGTTATGCTAGTTACTCTTACTTATCTAGAATTTCTATTTATTTGATGAAAAGAAATTTAAATTGGTAAAAGAATCAAAAGAGAACTCCATAAAGTAAAAGATCAATTTTCAAATTCTATTCAAAATTATACGCTAAGGCCGAAATCTCTATATTTTGCAAGAAGCCTTAGAACAATACTTTTACGTAATACCCTTTTAAAATTATTTTAATTTAAGAAAATCAAACATTATGTTTTCTAATAAAAGATACAGCAAAAAAAAAAATCAAAAGTTCCTTAGATTTTTTTTGAAATTCCTTAGATTGTTTAGTTGAACCTAACATTATGAAAAATAGATGAAAGTATCATTTATTTTCAAAGAATTTTTGTCTTTTCTTTTTCAATTTAAAAATATATTTAGAAAATAATCTTAGAATTTTGTTAATTATTATACCTTAGGGTAAATTAGATTAAACACCTTTGTAATATGACTCAGTTGCAACTATATCTCTTGTATTTTAAATCAAACACTTACACTCCTTATACTATGAGAATCTTATACAAATATAACGACTCAGTAACAAATATACATCACTCCCCCCTTGTATTTCAATAACAAATATTTCTACTTCATATACTATGAATATCCTAAAATTTTATGATCGCTTAATTACGATATACACCCCTTATTCCCTATATTTTTGTAAAAATATTTAAACCCCTTATATAATAAGAATCTTGCTTCAAGATAAATGATCTTCCAACTAAGTGAATTTATGATAGTTTAGAGTGGAACAATGAATAAGCAAAATAAAATAAAAATAAGAAATTTTAAAGGATACATGTTTCGAAATAATTTGAAGCACACAATGTTTTAAAGGATACATGTTTCGAAATAATTTGAGAAAGTCACACAGGATAAAGTCAAATTAAATTTTAAGAGTAATATAAAATTATATTAATTATATTATATTAAACCTGTAATTTATTAAAAATTTATATGTGAATTTAATAATATAAAATAATTAAAAATACGATTAGATAAGAAAGGAACAAAAATATAAATTTATTGGAAATATAAAAATATAAGATTTATATTTAAAATTATGATGAGAAAAGTCGTACATATACA